ATTTTGTCTTTGCCAAGATGACAGTACATAATAATTTTAATAGTTATTATGCAATGACTATTATTTAAATAGCAAAAACAAAAGAAATTGGGCATTAGCAATTAGAAACTACTTATTAAAATTATATTTAAAAATGTGTTGAAAAAACTTCTCTCCATTAAACAGCACTTGGGAAAAGTTTGTGAAAGATTTAAGAATGTACAGGGGCCAAAAATGATAATAATTTAAAATATATAAAAAATAAAGTAAAAAATAATCATTTTGATTTGAAGTATGTTTAAAAAAGACATAATAGTTTCCCATTAATATTATAGTGGAATATTAATATAGTTTTGAACACAAAATAAATAACTTAACTCAAAATAAATAACTATTCATAAAATACTAATCCCTGGATATGAAGTTATAAGTGTCTGAACTCCATCTAGTGCGATTATCATTAAGACTTACATGTGTTTCACACACTTCTCATAATGACGGATCTTTCTGAGCAACATAAACCATCCTCAAAACAATAGTTTCAAGTTCTAAGCTCCAGATGTTCTGGCCAAATATCATCTGAATGAAAGTGTCTATATGCATGTCTACACATACCTTTACAGTTGTGTGTGTATGAGTCTGTGAAAGCTCCCAAGACCCATTAGTGTATGCTTGTGGCCCCATGTAAGGGACCACCCGGCTGTCTGGTTCACACTTAGGGAGAAACTTGACTCCAGTTTAGCCTCCCAAAGAGGGCTTGAAAAGTGCAGTGGCCTCAGAGCTCCACTCCAACTGACCGACTGTACAGCAAACTGTCTGTACAGCCGGCCAGCCAAACATCACACTAAAATAGTAAATAGACGGGGGGTGCAAACCTAGCAGCTCTTTATGGCATGAGAGGATGTATATGTGTGTTTATAAGACAGAAAAGAGTTGAAAAGAGACACTAAGTGTAAACATATGAGTCATTGTCAGGAAACTAAAAATTGTGTGTACTTCACTTCTCTTATTATTGAGCATGTGTTGAAAGAAAATATTGTGATAGTTAGTAGTTTAATTAAGAGAATTTTTTTTTTCAATAATGTTGTTCAAAACCAAATTAAGTCTATTTTTGTGCTCAATAGTTTATTAGGATTCTTTTAAATACAAACAGATTTTTTTATGAATATAGAAAATCGGGGTTAGTAACAATAACCATGTAGGCTATATTTAGGATTGTAGGATTTTTTTGTGTATATTTTTAAACAGTTCTGTCTGGTTCTCAAATCTGATTGGCTGATAGCTGTGCAATATTCTGCAATATCCACACTTGTAGCCTCTTCTTCACCCTTGTGTATTAGTCCGTCCACATATGGTGACAGCAGATGAATAAACTCACTACAGTTTGACAAATATTGCAGCTGTTGGACAACATTATGTATTTTTAGGCTGTTTTTTAGGTGAGAATGTAGTTGTTTAGATTGCATCTATACACTTTATTTATTAGGCTAGTGCCTATTTTAAATATTTATAATTTCAGAGGCTATAAGCCTGTCATACTGAGCAGAGCAAAGACGGTTGACATTCCACCACAAGATGGCAACAGAGACTGCATATTAAAACCTTGGAGTGGGGGTGATGATCAGTTGATCAAATTATTATAAAACTTTCCCTCTTTTGTATGTTTTTGTGCTGTATTTTTTGTTTTGGCCTTTTCTGAGTTTATTTCATATAATCGTTCGTAACAGAGAAATTCTGTGAAATCTTTGATGGACTGATGGCATTGCGTGCCATTTCTCGTAGCAGCATATTTTTAATTTCATTATTAGTTATTAATCTTATCATTAATCTTAATATTGACATATTTATATGGAAGTTACAATCATGGTGCTTTAGGCCTTTATTTGAAACATATGATTTATTTAAAGACCATGGCATCCCATCCGAATCAAGAATTATAATGATAACTATAAGTGTCCATACATAGTGGTCATTGTTCTGATATGATATTGTGGCATTAATTCAATCATAAATATTGATTTCAGTTGGTTTCAAAATGATACTTCACCCAAAATTTGTATTGTTTTTTTTTTATAACTTTATTTTAATAGCATTTTTACTCACAGTCAGACAATTCAAGCACTGTAAAATTTACAGTATTTCCGGCGATGTTGGTTGCCAGTAATATAGTAAAATTAAAGTGCACTGTAAATTAACATTTAAATTGTGTTGTAAAACTAAAGCATAGTTGTAATTGTTAATTTACAGTGCACTTGTAAATTTTGTCTGTAATACTGTAAAATTTTCAAGCATACTGTAAATTAACAATTACAATTGTGCTGTGAAACTACGGCACATTTGTAATTGTTGATGTACAGTGCACTTATAATATGTACAGTATTACTGGCAACATTTTTTTTTACAATGTAGGGGACTTTCTCTTCAGTAGAACATTAAAGATGATCTAATTGAGTGTGTTCAAGCAAAGATTATAAAAACTGTTCGAGGAAATTTTTTTTTTCCCATAATTTCACTGGGGATTTGTGTATACATGCATAAATATAAATGAGTAAATAAAGAGAAATAAAAAAAATGGTACAAATGGCTCCATTACCCACAGAATGAAAGAAAATACAAAGAAAAAAATAATAAGTCAAAGAAAAGGCAAGAAAGAAACAAAGCGCAGAAGGATGTGATCAATCACTGACTGTTGGAGATAAGGAGAGCTTGTCTATTGTTTGATGGGATCTGGAATTAATTAGCAGTAGTAGAGCTCTCATTGTGTGACACCGGTGCTTGGCCTTTCACAGCTCATTACTGCGTGTCCAATCAGCAGAGGCCAGTATGACTGCTGTTTATTTATACACACAGCCAGCCGTGGCAGCCATTTGGCAGTTTTCTCCACTGGGGAGCCTTAAACACTCCCACATTGAGCTCCTGCGTTCAGTCAAAGAGCTAAAACCATCTCTGATCTTAATACATCACTTTATATACTAACGGTATTATTTTATTATTCACACTTGACTCGACCCATTCGACAGGTTGTGAACACAAATCTCATGGCAGCAATTTGGAATCTAAATATGGTCATAATGCCTTTTTCATATTTTGTCCTGTTCAATATTCCACAGATTATTTTATCAAGAATTTTACAACTCAAGCATCATAATCTAGAAAAAATGTAATTTATTATATAAAAAATAAACTAAATGAAATAGACAAAAAAAGATCACTGTAAAAATGCTGGGTTCCATTTATCTTGGGACAACATGAAGGAATTTAGTTAACTTTTTAGTTTTTACAGATTGAAGTGTATTGGACATAAAATTATTAATATGTCCTCAAAAAACTCAAGAATTCAACTCAAGCGCCGATTCAGCTTATTCCATATTTGAACAAACAGCAAACATACTTTTGAGTTTTTCCTGTCCTCATTGGAGCATACCATTTGAAAATGTGTGGCATAAATAAACTGGCGTATTCCACAGCCTGTCATTTTAGTGGATCAGTTTCAACATTAAGAAAGTTGTATCAAGATTAATAAGAAACTTATGAGTTCTAAAAAGCACAGTTTTTTTTATACTACATTTTAAATGTCAAAAGATCAAGGGAATACTGATTTCTCAATACTTGCATGGCCCCTCTATGAAATATTTCAGAAATATTTTATATATACAGTTGAAGTCAGAATTATTAGCCCCCGTTTATATTCCTCCAATTTTTGTTCAAAGGTGAGATTTTTTTAAACACATTTCTAAACTTAACAGTTTTAATAACTCATTTCTAATAACTGATTTATTTTATCTTTGCCATGATGACAGTAAATAATATTGGACTTGTTATTTTTTAAAGACACTTCTATAAAGCTTAATTTGACATTTAAAGGCTTAACTAGGTTATTTAGGTTAACTAGGCGGGTTAGGGTAATTAGACAAGTTATTGTATAACAACGGTTTGTTCTGTAGACAATCTGAAAAAAAAAATTGCTTAAAGGGGCTAATAATTTTGATCTTTAAATGTTTTTTTAAAAAATGTAAAAACTTATTTTATTCCAGCCAAAATAAAACAAATAAGACTTTTTCCAGAAGAAAAAACATTATCAGACAATCTGTGAACATTTCCTTGCTCTGTTAAACATCATTTGGGAAATATTTTAAAAGAAAAAAAAATTCAAAGGGGGCTAATAATTCTGACTTCAATATTAATTTCTCCCTCAGACGTTTTCTTATTATAAAATTAGCTAAATATATACAATTATTTTTTATTGTATGATTTCATAATATATTCTATACCAGTAGAATCTAAAACGGGGTGCCCAAACTTTTCGCATGAAGGGCCAAAAACCTAAATATCATTTAGACCAGGGATGGGCAAACTTGATCCTCGAGGGCCGGTGTCCCTGCAGAGTTTTGTTCCAAAACTTGCCAAACACACCTGAACAAACTAATCAATGTCTTCAAGATCACTTGAACTCATTATAGAGGTCTGTTTGAATAGGGTTGGAGCTAAACTATGCAGGGCACTGGCCCTCCAGGATCAAGTTTGCCCACACCTGATTTAGACCCATGGGGCAAACTATATTACATTAAAATTGCCATAGGTATTTTATAACATTTCAAAAATAAATTGATATTATTACTTAAAATCATATTAGTTAACGTTTATAACACAGTGGAGTTCAATGCTGAATACATTAGTGAAGCAAAATCTGACTTTGCCTTCATTTGATCACTGATATCTTTGGATTGTTCTAAATCTGTCAGGTGACAGTATGTACATTTAAAAAAATCGGATACATTTAATTGAAACGTTGAAATTGCATCAGCCTTTTGTAGCTTAGGAATAAAACAAAACAAACATAAAATTACATTAAATTAGAAATGACACAGTCTCTAAACCATCCCCATCATTCTCCATTTCTTCTCATATGGGATGGTGGGCCACATCAAAAGTTAACATGGGTCATATTTGGCCCACGGACCCTAGTTTGGGCATCTCTGATCTAAAATGAGGATCTAAATGATAAAAACAGGCAAGCAAAGTTACATTTGTATATATATATATTTTTATTATAAACACTTTACACATTAGAGACAGGACAACACCTCTCTCACTGGTTTCCAGGTACGTTTCAATAGGAAATATTAGGGCACTTGGGAAAAAATACAATGCAGACCACTGAGCTTACGATGAATGCACATTTACAGACAGCACAATATCAACATCATCATCTGAAATGCAAAGACTAGACGAACCAAATCATATCCAGCACATTCCTGATACAACCATGCGCTCATGTACAACACAAACAGACGTCAAATAAATAAATTCCCAACAATCTGACGATCCCCTCAACCAAACAATATTTAGCACGCGCTTCCTGAACAAAACATCTGTATTTACAAACCGAATATATTAACTTTTACCTCAGACGGAGGACGTTTGATTCAATACAAACTCTCAAAGAGCCCACTCAGTGGTTGACATTCACCTCCACTGGTCTACAGACGAAGCAGAGGGCTATGGTCGCCATCTATTGGCTTGAAATGTAATTGCACAAGAGTGTAAGTTGATGGTAAACAATGTGCATGCACACCATGCGTTTAAGACACAACACTGTACAACGTCAAAACAGCTGCAGCATGATCAATTTCTGAACACGAACCATAAGCGACATCCAAACAACAAATCAACAGGGGGGCACAAACTTTTGACCGCTAACCCCGAGAGTCATGGGAGGATGACAGCATGCTGACAAAGGTTTTCTCACACATTAAAATGGGAAAATCACTTCTTAATAAAGGACTAAAGGCACTTTTAACAGGGGAATAGACATAGTTCTGGTTTTAATGTATGAGGATGTCACAAACACTATTATTACTTCATACAGGAAAAACACAAATCCAGAAATACAATTACGACATGGAATTGGGTCAGTAGAGACGTTCGAAGAGCTGATAGATTATGAAACCTTAATATATTTCAGAGGATTTTCTTGAAATTGCTATATATTGAAATACTGATACTTTTAGACTGTTTTTTGTTCATTATATATGTCAACGTGTTTGCGTAAAGGACACTTTTAGTACTAGAATTCTGTACATAAAAGTAGCAAGAAGAGTTTTGGACCAAATTAAGGGAATTTTTTTAATGGATTGGTCCGAGTGTGTGATTTGCATCATATTCACCTCACACAACATAAACTCCATATAAATTATTAATGGAATTGTGTTTTATGTTGCTTGAAGGCTGTATGTTGTATTGCTGTTGCCGAATATGTGCATAGTGTTTGACATTGATCCAATCTGGACAAAACCAACCATTTTTGCTGAAGACAATGATGCATTAAGGGGATGTGGTTGATCTGTGCCAGCCATTTTGTTTGCATCAGTTCTGAACTTGACGTTAGTAGGACTCTGGGGTTGTAATAGGGATAAATCTGTGTTGGCATTTGCGGAATACTGGACTGATGAGAACAGTAGAGTTTGGATATTCACTCTGCTGCCATCTGCTCAATGTGGTCACACAGCAGCTTGTATTGCTCTGAAAAAAGGATGATATAAAGTGAGAATTCTAATTATACATACATTACAGTATAACAGGTGTTTCAACGTGTAAATAAACAGTGAGTTACCTTCATTCAGATTTCCAATGACTGCCTGCTTCTTCAGGAAGTCGTTGCAGAGTTTCTTGCTTAACCCAAAAGCCACCATGTTATGAGTGAATGTTCTAGATGAAAATGAATGCATATGAGGATAAAAAACAATTAAATATTAGCATACTCGCAGTCCTCTGTGGCACAATATGAACCTACTTTCTGGTGGACAACCCTTTAATCAGCTATCATGGGCCAATAAAGGTATTCTAACATTAAAAGACATAAATGAAGAAAAATCAATTCTAGATTTTCAGGGGTTTGTTAAAAAATTTAATATATCCCCAAAACTCTATTTATATATATATTGAAATAAGGATCTTCATATCCATTCGATTGTGAAATGGATATATAATGCTCCAAGAAAAGGAACTGTCTTATATATTTATGGCTGTTTTCAAATATTAATATACATACTTTCTCAAAAGAAAGATTGACTATTTGATCTGTCTCCGCCCAATAAAACTATTGGTTGGGAAACACTTCCACAAACCCTAATCACCAATTTATTCACTTTAAAACTATTTAAAGGGCATATTTAACTACACATATAGGATATATATTTCAAAGGTTTATCTTCACATCCTTATTGTAAGTTCTGCAAACCAGAGCGTCCAAATAGCATTTTACATATGATGTGGAAATGTCCAGAGGTGGAAAAACTTTGGGATTCTGTGCTGGAAATTTTATTTCAATTTACAAAAAAAAGCTATTGTTGAGAGAACTCCCAATTTCCCTTAGATGCAAAGGTCTTTAAATGTTGATTAGCTGCTTTGACTGCTACAAAGATACAGAGTACAGAGATGGAAACCCCCTCATGATCTTTCTGTTAAGCAATCGGTTGCAATCACTATTGGAAATACTGTACCTAGAACTGTCATAAGCTTGTATCAACTATGCTAAACTGGACATTTTGATAGAGTGGAAAACCTACATATGTAACATCAACGAAATCTTAGTCACTTAACCCTCATCTGATACTAAAAAAGTCAAAGTTCATGCAATTTATGTTCTTGCTTGGTCTAAACTACAGTTATTCTGTATTTCCTGATGTGCATATAACTGGTGGGGGGGATAAGGGATACATACGGGGTAATAGCTGTTAAAAGTTTATTATAAAAGTATCTGATTATAAAAATAGTAATTTTTGGAAATAAAAACTGAATTACAAAAAAAAAAAAAAACAAACAAAAAAAAGAACAAATTAAATATGACCACATCATCTTAAAATTGAATAAATAAGCTTTCCATTGATGTATGTTTGTTAATATTTGACTAAGCTACAGCTATTAGAAATCTGTAATCTGAGGGTTATAATATTGTCCAAATTAAGCTCTCACTAAAGTGTATGACTAATCAAAAAATGTATTTTGCTTTATTTATGGAATATTTACTTAATATTGTAATCATTTTGGCATAAAAGAAAAGAAATAGTCAATTTGTTTCTCATACTTTGTTATGTTTGCTATTCAAAAATACAAATATACACGTGGAACTTAAAGTCCCAGTGAACCGGAAGCTGAAATTGTTATTTTTTCGTATTGTGGCACAGTTCCTTGAGAAACAGAATTTTAAATGAGCAAACAAGATTTTAAATGAGCAAATCTTGTTTTTTCTACCGCGGGCTGATTGGATGTAAAGTGGGCATTTCATTCAGAAAGATCAGGAGAGTTATTACAACCTGACAGACCCCTCCTCCTCCTCACGCTTTCTGTTTGTTGTCAAAACTGACAGTTGAAGAGGCGTGGTTAAATATGTTACCTCAAATTCACATAATCTGAGAAATAATGTTTTTTTAATTTATTTATTTTGTATTGTTTTACTGTGCTTTGTTGTTTTTACTTTCTTGCAAGCGCTTTGGGTTTTAAAAAAACATGTTATAAGTCAAATATATTATTATTATTATTATTAAAACTGAAAACAAACAGGACGTGCATTTTCAAATGATTTTCAAACAATTTTTTTTCATTAATGACATGCACTGATTAATTGTTCACCACAAAACTGGCCATGTCAGCTAACAAAATCATTTGGTTAGTTTTGATTTCTTGGTGGCTTTAAGTCTGGTTTTGTGGTCCAAGGTTACAAATACTAGCAAGTAATGAACACTGTTTTTGATCATACTGTGAAAAATGTGACGAATGCCATGAGACTCACCCAAGCTGGCCAAAGGTGATGTTCTCATTAAATCTGGAGCTATCGTCTTTCTCCTCCTGGGTCATATGACACCACTTTTCTCTGAAGGTACAAAAACAAATAGGTCAAGGTCAGAGGTCACTGATATTTTGACAATTTCTTCTCATGAAGCATGCGACACCATCAGAGGCAATCAACACAATGATTTGCCTCTTTATTAAATGTTATTGCTCACTCAGAACTGTAACTTGGAACATATTACAATGAATGCCGGGAGGTTAGAGAGTTAAAAAGATGTAAAAACAATCATACAAAAAGAACAAATGTGTTTATCAGCCATACACTGGTGCTCATGCAAAATCCAACAGACATTTCAGAATAAGGTTTAGCGAGCAGTCAGCTGTAACCAAGATTCACAGTGAATCAAAACAAAAAACAAGACAAAATGTAAATAATAAAAAGCATATGAGCAACACACAACAACAGCATAACTCAGCGCACACACAGAAAACAAATGCTCAGGCAAACAAAGCAATATGCATTTTTTATTAACTACTAATTGTTCCTTTTGTCAAAATCTTTTTTAGAAAATTAGTTTATCTAATATTTTTTTAAAACTTTTTGACACTTGTTAGTTAAAAAAAAAAAAGTTGAAACGAGTTTTCAACAAGTTGCATTTTTTGAGGAATCATTTTTGTCAGTAGACGGGTTTCTATCCTAGCCTGAAGCAAATCTTTTCAAAGTTCACAAAAAATAAGAAATAAATAAATAAAATTCCCAAATCCAAATTAGGTGTAATTTCATCAAGTTATTGAGTCAGCTGATTAGTAACAAGGGTGTAACGTGCAGAGTTTATTCAGTAAACCCGTTTCCATCTCCTAATATTCGCACAAGTCCAAAACCACCTCAAGTTAGCATTAAATTTCTTTTGCCAATTATGGAATTTCCATTGAAATTTTGGCTTTTCAGTCCTTTCTCATTTGATACTTCAAGATGTGCATTAACACATGGTGATGGAAACCCAGCTAGTGGCACAATCTGTGTGGGGCAAATTACATGCCAAGTTTAAAGGGACAAATCAATTATTTACAATCAGACCATTGAAGATGTAGATTACTTTTTTTCTTCAGTAGACAATTAAATAATTTTTATTTATTTTTTTTAGCTAAAACCATGGTCTTTTGTGGTATATAAAATGCAAGTCAACAGATACCGTCACTTTGAGAGTTAATAAAACACAGAGGGAAAACAAAAACAATTTTCAGATTCCCAACGTTGAAAATACATTTTTATGTGACAAGATGCTTGCGCTTCATACTATTGTAAATACACAACAGGAGTGTTACAGCCCCATTTTCTTTCTTCATTTGAGGGCAAAAAAAAGTTTTAAAAGACAGTATACTGTTTGTACACTCTAACATCCCTGAGCCGCAGAATGTGAGGTTGTAAATGTGTCGCTGTGTTCACGTGTACCACCTAAACACAACAACTGTGAGAAAAGAACAGTTTCATTAAATCTGCCAAAATACTTTTTCCAACCTGTATGAGAATCACCACATCTTTGCATTATTTTTTATTCATTGCGGACAGGAAATTAATTGCAGCGCTGCTTATGCTCAAAGAAAACAATGTTGAGAACAATTAAGAGACATCCAGTGTGTAACCCCTCTCTGTGAGCGATTTTACAGGTGCAGATACATCTGTACCAGCTCTGCTAATCGATCCTCCAGTGTGTTCATGTGGCTAACTTATTGTTGTTTGGATGTTGTTCTCCTGTCTGACTTCTGTGGATATGATATACGATTATACGAATCACAAAAGTTTCTGAAAACACCCACCAGTTGCGTAATTGCCTGACTAATAGTAAAGTGTTAAGGAGCCAAAATGAACTCCTCCAAAAAGTTGGCTTTGGCAAGCTATTTTGAAAAACTAAATCAGACTCAATTAACTTAGCTTTAGACAGATTTTGTTTGAAATTTCATGAAATTGTTACTAAAGACTTTGAAGCAACAGTTAATGGAAACAATTTTCATGATTATTCAAGGGGAAATTATTGATGGCAGCCTTAAACTGCTGCAAAGGCTGCTTCATAAGATCTCCACGCATTGTCAGGAGCCACAGGTAATACTTTTGTTTTGCCTCTATATATTCTTTGACTCTCAAAGTGCTAGGAAAAGTAGAATTGCATTTTATGAAGCTAAAACTCTTTTACCAAAAGAATTAAGTAATCTACATATTGGATGGCTGAGGTTGAGTAAATTAACAGCAGCATTTTAAAGGAATAAGTAAATCTTTAAATATATATAAATACGGATAACATTTAAAGGCATATTCACCCCAAAATAAAGCTGTAAAGAAGCAGGACATAATTTAATATCAAGTCAGAGTGTTTTTGAAATAAGAAAGGCACTTCTTACACCTGGCACAGGGCTGTACGATAATTTTTATTTTGGGTGAATTGTTCCTTTAATGCTTACTCTTAAAAGACACTGGCACTGGAAATGAAAAGGCACTGGGAATAAAATATACCCTGACTGCATGCAACAATACAGCACAAAAATGCAGCGCCCAAGACTGAATGTACTGTGATCTCATTGCCCACTTTTTATTTTGTGTAATGCAGATCAGCGGTTCTCAACTGGTTCCAGGACACAGATTTTTACAATGGATATCAACTGGTGACCCACAAACAGTCCCCAAATTGTTTATCGTGCAAAAGTAAACAAAAAAGTCATTGGTTATTATGGTTTTCAAAAATGAGGGCATGTCATGCAACCTGTCCATGCCGGCCAGATGAATTTGGTTTACCGTGCCAAAACACTGTGTTTTGATTGAATGCAAGGCTTTTGAAATCAACAAAAGAACCATTTGCTTTTCCTGTTTAAAATTTAATAAGCCTATTTATTTTATTACACTAAATACTCAAGTGAACGTGCTTTTATCAATGCTGTCCTTTGCTTTAATAAAAACACATTTAATAAAACCTTGTGGTATTTTAGTATTAATACATCATTCATTTTTAAGCTTCACAATGTCCCTGAGAGTAAATGTTAAAGTTGTGCAATGTAGATAAAGTGATCAAAAAGACAAAGCTTTACGCCAAAGGCAAATGTGACCGGCATGAGTCAGCACTTTTTTTGCAGACCTCAAACACTGTTTAGTTTCCTTTGAGTATGATGGAAATGTTATCAGAAGGTTACACAGCTTCCTGAGTGGATACTGCATTGTCAGGGACTGCTTATTGTGACCTTCAGCTGACATACATACTGAGTGTTTTACAGGGGTTCCCATATTTTTGACCCACACATTTCATGGATAATTTTCTATAAGGATTGTATCAAAAAGGATAAATATCTACTTGCTGAACTATATTGGACTGGAGAAAAAAATATTATGATTATTCTTCATTTATTTACCTTTCTGCTTAGTCCCTTTATTAATCCAGGGTTGCCACAGTGGAATGAACCGCCAACTTATCCAGCATATGTTTTATGCAGCAAATGCCCTTCCAGCTTCAACCCATTACTGGGAAACATTCATACACACTCATTCGCACTCATACACTATGGACAATTTAGTCTTCCCAATTTACCTATACCACTTGTTTTTGGACTTGTGGGGGAAACCGGAGCACCCTGAGGAAACCCACGCGAACACGGGGAGAACATGCAAACTCCACACAAAGCTAACTGACCTAGCGGAAGCTCGAACCAGCAACCTTCTTGCTGTGAGGCGAACGTGCTACCCACTGCACCACCATGCAGCTCTATTATTATTATATATTACATTGGGGCAGCACGGTGGCGCAGTGGGTAGCACAATTGCCTCACAGCTAGAAGGTTGGGTCAGTTGGGGTTTCTGTGTGGAGTTTGCATGTTCTCCCTGTGTTGGCGTGGGTTTCCTCCAGGTGCTTCCGTTTCCCTCACAAATTCAAAGACATGCTGTACAGGTTAATTGGGTAAGCTAAATTGTCCATAGAGCATGTGTATGAATGAGTGTGTCTGGATGTTTCCCAGTGATCGGTTGCAGCTGGAAGGGCATCTGCTGCGTAAAACATATGCAGGATAAGTTGGCGGTTCATTCTGCCAATAATAAAGGGACTAAGGCGAAAAGAAAATGAATGAATGAATATATTATATTATCATAGTTTTGGGCCCGAATTTTTTATTCATCACACATACAAATAAAAGCTTTTATTTAATATGGACATTTTTATTTGGTAAAATAAAATTTAAAGATTTATATTTCTTTTTTTTGTTGTTGTTTTAGAGTGGAACATGACTATGTGAACAATACTATGGAACATGACTATGTGGAACATGGCATGTTAACAAATAAATAAATAATTGTATTCATAAATAAAAACATACTGTTAAAAAGAAGTGACAATAAAGACAAGAATAATAAAAAAACAAAATCAAAAAACCAACACAAAAGATATTAAAATTTCCACAAAAATATTGCAATCTTCACCTTCACTGACAATAATAATTTTTGTCTTGAGCACCAAACCTTACTAATTGTTAAGACTATGACAGAAATTATTTTTTTTAAAAAATATATTACTAATGTATAATGTAAATTGTAAAAACATAAGATCTTAAAATATTACTGTATTTATAAGAAATAAACTGTTTTTCCCTATTTTTTCCCTCAATGTTTTAAGTGTTAATCTAATGTTGTTACTGTGATGTATGTACTCTGGGACTGTGACATGATTAAGACATACTGGAAAGAAATTCACAAATTTTTAGAAAACCTTTTGCCCTATCTCCAGCTATTTATCTTCTGAATTGTAAAACTGCTCTACACCTTAGTCATAGACTAGAATCTGTGTTAGACTTTTGTAGGTATCTAGCAAGAAAATATATTCTTCTGTTGTGTTCCTCTCCTAACTCTCCTTCGGTCAATATGTGGATAAATCAGATTGCCATTTTCTTACTTTTAGAAAAACTGACTTATGACTTGTGTCAGAAACCAGATGATGTCTAGCATATCTGGAATCCTCTATGAGTTTTTGTAAAATGTATCTTGAAAGACTTCTTTTGTGTTAATTTTACCCTTCACAAAAGACTTGAATTACTAGCCGATGGACAATTGTATAATAGACGGCTATATTATTGCATATGATGACATAAGACACCTATAGCACTGTTTTGTCATTGTGAATCTTTAAATAAATGTTAAAAAAAAATAAAATCTTGAATATTACTAAACAAATATGTATGTATATGAATTTGAGATCTTGTTTTTAAACTGAATATTTTTTGAAGTTTGGAACTCCCTGACAAATCCCTGATAGTTTTATTTTTGCCAGAACCCTGCACACAGATTACACAAATAATATACTGGCCCAATAGTGTATCATCCTATTCTTATTTCAGATTGCCCTCGATTTATCCTGTGCTTTGACTATATTGACTTCATTCAAACTGATCAAAATGTTTTCCAACTGTCTTTCCTAATCCTCCTTATCCTCTTTGTCTTTCTAGCATTGTCCAGGGCAGCAGACGGAATGAAGGACAGACCTTTCATCTTTCTCTTCCTCAGCCGTCCGCCTGCGTGAGGCAGCGAGGCACAGGGAGATAAAGGGTTAAAGTCACATGCAGAAAGAAAAAGAGAAAGAAAGAGCCACAGAGAGAAAGAAGAGAATGATGAGCAGATGAGCAGTGGAAGAGTAAACCATAAGCACACAGAGAAGAAGAGGCTGCGGGACTCCGATATTTTGCAATTACAAATAACACGGTAACACTGTCATACAGTCACGCACACCTCCCGAGTTCATTTCGACATCACTAACAATCTATCAAACGCAAACGTAAACTCAATCCAGGCCTCTGGCTTTATCAAACACACAAACAAACACGCAGTCTAAACAAACACGCAATCTGACATGTGCATTAGGTGCCGTGCAAAGTCTGTTTTGTTTAACGGCACGATATATTAGGAGAAAGAGAAAAGCTTTGTTGAAACGGTGAGAACTGCGGAGTATATGCTGAAGGAAAATATATGTGGAGTTTTACCTCGTGGTCGGTGATCTTTTGTTCCTCTCACTGTGGACGGCATCGAAAAATGCAGCATTCCAAAACCTCAAAGTGTGCCTTTTAAAAAAAGATGAAGAAAAACAGATGCAATCAGACGAATATTAGTGTGTAAACTGCTTTAGAGATCACAAACTTTGAATGCCAACAAACCTACATTAAAAACGCATCATACTTTTTTTCCTGCCAGGCTTCAATTTTAGGTTTTTATTGCAATCAGCTTTTTAAAGCTTTGAAAATAAAATGAAAGATTTAGGTAAAATATTTATCTCCCCAAAGTAAATATCTTAAAAAGCCCATATTATGGGTTTTTGTAAATGACCCGCCATGTAGTGTGTAACAAAGCTCTAAGTGAAGTGAAAAATCCAGCTAAGGCTTAAATCTGTAAGTGTTTAAAACTGTTGATTCATCTATAAAAGAGTCGACTCATAGTGCTTCAAATGAGTCGTCTTGATAATGAGTCATTAGGTGTTTCGCGATGACGCGGCTACGAAACACAAGCACCGCCCAGTAGTTGTGTGCGCAAACCCGGGAGATTTAAAAACGTGCTGCCCCGCCCACTAACACAGAAAAAAAGCACACACACAGAATCTACCCAAAGATGAAACTGAAGAGTCAGTGGTGGAGGTTTATTTTTGCAAAAATACCTCAGCATTATAGCCCAGCCTTGTGCAGTGCTTCTGGAAACTACATGCTTACAAAGAAAACTTCATCCGCCTTTTGTTAAAGGAAGGATCAGAAAAGACTACTGTCAGAACATGGATCAGTGCATTATGGATCAGTTTCTTCCTCCATTTCACAAGTGCGATTAAAATTGTTGCCTCGTTTACTTTAGCTTGCAACTGATGTATTTAATGGTGTTTTGTTACTTGTAACGGCGTGTACTGTATCAACTCTTTATATTCTCATATCGCGTGTAAAGCCACGTTGAAAACGCGATGCGTGGCATATTGTTTACAGATTTAACGTTAAATGTGTTTGTGAGCTGGCGTTCCACCGCCGTTTGTCGTTGCCATGGCCATCGTAAGCTAGGGGCTAGTAGACTCGTATTGATCTGCCCAGATCTTCAGAGGAGGGAAAGGTGTGTGTGTGTGTGAGAGAGAAAAGAGCAGGTAGAGACTCGTGTTGATCTCCTCGCCAGTTCTTGGAGTTTTTTCTCAATAAAATAGTGAGTCGTCTGTATTTTCACGTCTACCGTCTGTATTTACATTCACTCACTGGCAGCTAAAATCCATGCTTTACACTATGAAGCGTGTATGCACTGTGACTACTTCTATGTTGTTGATTAGCTGCTGGGCATTTCACTCTGTCTCGCGCTGAAGGCTGTCAGTGTCAACCAATCGCAGCAGACTGTCATCTGTCAAATCAGCGCAGATTAGCTTCACGCTAAGGAGGGGTTTGGGAACAAATGAATCACTGAACGATTCATATCGCTGGAATAATTATGTAAAATAAATGCAGATTATAAGACTATGAAAGTGATTTTTGACCTTGCATGCATATTAGACTGTTGTTGGAGACCCTTACAACCAAAATATGACCCTATTTCATGTATAATAGGGGCTCTTTAAAATTATCGTGCTATGTGAAATGCTAATCACTTTCTAGAAAATTATATGTTGCTAATATTAAGACATATTTCTCCTTCAAAAAAACTACATATAACCATCTTTTGACATTTTCTATAATATTGTTTTCTTATCTAGTCTTAATTCTTTTGGTTTGGCTTAATTAAAAGCAGTTTTTGAATGATTTTCAAACATCATTAGTCATCATTATATTTTTTTGATTGGCAGAACAGACCACTGACGTCCAATGACTTAATTAATAACCTAATTAACCTAGTTTAGTCCTTAAACTTAAATATATATATATATATATATATATATATATATATATATATATATATATATATATATATATATATATATATATGTATATATATATATATATATATGAATTAGTAGCCCCCCTGTTAATTTTTTTCCCCAATTTCTGTTTAACGAGAGAAGACATTTTCAACACATTCCTAAACATAATAGTTTTAGTAACTCCTTTCTAATAACTGTTTTTTTTCATCTTTGCCATGATGACAGTAAATAAAATTTTACAAGATATTGGGTCTCGTCCTTCTCCTATATTGTTTTTGGCTGATTTAGGTCTAATCTCATGACTTTGTAACAATGCAGTAAACAACATTAATAGTGCAGACATATCTTAATATTTCTGTGTGTGTGTCAAATGAAAGCTCATTACTGTTTTACTGTTATTAGAATAATATTTTACTTTTACTTTATTATAAAATATAAAAAATTATTTTGTTTTTATTCTGGCATGAAATATTAATTATTATTATCTAATCTTATGACTTTGCAACAATGTACAAGTAAACAACATTAATAGTGCATTATCTTAATATTTCTCAGTAAAACCTACCAAATGGGCTGCTGTTTGAGGTGTGTGTACAGGTAAATCTTTTCCTCTTCTTTTCTGTCCGGAGACAGAGGGGGAGAAACTACGAGCAGAGAAAAGCACAGTTAATAACTCGCACACACCAACACAAGTCTGGATTGCAAACACAATCCCTGTGGGTGAAGAGTTGCTCAAGAGCACTGTGGTTTTATTCAACATACGGTTTGGGTAACTGACCCAGATTTGTAACCACTAAATCTCATCACCACTAAACCCAGAGTGAGACATTGGATGATAAAAACAGTCAAGATATAACAAGAGGAACATGGTACATTACCTGGTGTTTTAGCTTTCTGTTCGGCAGGCCTGTCTGTGTCTCTGTGAAAAGACAGAGTGTTTTGCAGCAGAATATTAATTGATGGGGGCATACCATGCATTTTCACAAGGGGTACAGTAAATTGCTTGGCTCTCCACAATGTGCACCACATCAAAATACACCACATATCACTTATTATAGCTTGTCAAATGAAACCAAAATGTCTGAAATGGCCTTCGTTAAAGACTTAATCTTCAAACCACAGCCAGACAATGTAGTTGGGCAAGAGGATGCTATTTCTAGACTGATGTACTTAGCATGTATGCGGAATTGATTAAACTCATTGATTAGCATATTATTGCTCTGTTCTATTACACAAGAAGTGCAGTTCTCTCATCTTTACACAAAATGTAAAAATTCAGTCACTATACAGGACTATACAGAGCATAATAAATATGCACTTATAAATGATGCTGCCGTAGGTGTTTTTGGATTAAACCTAAGAATACATACACACTGAAAGAAACGATTGACTGGATTTACTGAATTTTTTAAAGGTAACTGGTTGCAAACAATTTATATAATGGGCTGAATATAAGCAAATAAATGTAGTTGAACATTAATACATTTAATTTGTTTGTTAAAATTCAGCCCATTTGAATTGTTTGCAGTCAGTTACCTTAAAATATTTAGTAAATCGAATAAATCATTTCAGTGCAGATCTGTTATCTGTGAATACAGTTGGAAACAATGTTAACTTTTATCCACATAGCACATTCACAAGGAACATTTGGTAACATAAAAACAATATAATTAATGACTTTTTCTATTTTTGTTGTTGTTGTTGTTAGCTAATATAACATAGCACTTAAAGAAAAGGTTCACCCAAAAATGAAAATCTACAGACTATTTACTCTCCCTCAAATGTTTCCAATCACATATGAGTTTCTTTCTTCTATAGAACACAAAAGAAGATATTTTAAAGAATGTTAGAAACCCTTTACCATTAAATTCAATAGTAAGGCAAGGCAAGTTTATTTATATAGCACATTTCATACACAATTGTAATTGATAGTGCAAGAATAAAAGAAACAAGAAAATGATTAAAATAATTCAAAATAATAGCAAAAACAAATACAATGAAAGTCAATGTTTACTGGTTTTAAACTTTGTTCAACAAAAGAAAGCAACTCTAACAAATTTAGTTACTAAATTGTCACGCTGAGTAAACAATCACATCATTTTCAGTTTTGGGTCAACTATTCCTTTAAACTCAGAAAACGCCCAATTTTCTTGATATCTCCCCTTTTTTGAAAAGAGTGACAGAAAAATCACCCACTCATTCTTTCGGCCCAAGGGTCCTCTCAGTTTGCTCTCCAGACCCCCAAAAAACCCTTTAACGTCAGTCTTAGCAGAGGTGTTTTTGAGCATCCGCTCTGCAATATCCTTCTTCCCAGAGAGCCAGACCTTTCCACTGCGCAGGTACGAGTCGATCCCCCCGCTGGGCCTCTCCAGCAGCTCTGTGGGTGACAGCTGCGATTTACCTGGTAAATACATTCAGCGGGTATTAATTAAAAACACATAGTGGGCAGGCACAAATCATATTAGTGCATACTAGTGGGCATCTAGAAGTGTTGTGTGATTAGAGAACGATTTTTAATGGACCCTTTTCACATTTCCGGGTTTCTCAGTAGCGAAAGTAATCATAGTTGGGTAAACCTAGAGCACAGTGAATAGGAGAGTGCAACAAATAATTCTTTTACAATCCTATTTGCTGAAATAGTAAAAGAAAAACTCCACGATGGAGTTATCAAGACTTTCAGAAAAAGGAAATAATTGTGTCCGACTCATAACAGCAGCCAAAAGAGAGAACAACGTCAAATTTACTGTCCTCCCCATCGCGCTGCATTAGAAACACCTCACACAAGCAGTAATTCGTTTTTTGGAAATTTGATGCCAAGATGATTTTATACATACGTGAATACATTTAAATATACATAGGTTTAAAAAAAAATCTAAATATTCAAAACTCTCAAGGACTTAAGATTATGATGACCATTAAATGCATCTGAACAGTCAAAGGGTCCATATGACATGAGAATTAATATCTAAATATTTAAAAGATTTTGCTGAACACTGGGGTTCAATCAATCTTATTTAATGTGAGTGTGAGTGTGAGTGTCTAAAATAAAGACACTTACACTCAACAAGGCTGCATTTAATGACCATAAATACAATACAAAAATGTATTTTGTGAACTATTACAATATAACATATCACATTTTTTTTTTTAATGGATTTATTCCTGTGATGAGAAAGTTACATTTTCATCAGCTGTTACTTCAGTTTTAGTGTCATATGATTGTGCAGAAAACATTTTAACATGTTGATATATTTTTATAAATACTTCTTATCATTAATGTCAAATGAAAAAAAAAATGCCCATCAAAATATAAATACAAAGAAATAACTGTTACATGACACAATAATGGGCAGTACCAGTAATATCTGAGTCACGGGCTTTAACAGGAAGCTGAGGGAGGTCTGCATGTTTCTTTATCAGATTCTTACATTCCTCACATCAGTTTGCTTGCTTAAGATGAATGGTAAACTCTCTCTTACCCATGTAGTAATATGTGAAGCACATGGTCATGAGGTGTTTGGCAGGGCAATAGTCATCCACCTGGTGACATCTGTCAATCATTCAATTAGTCAGACAGTTCACATATAAACAAAATTGGTTACTATTTCTATGCATTTCTAATGCAAAACAAGAATTCAAGATATTATCGCTAATGTACTTACTCAAATAAAACAACAGCGAAAGACTGCACCAGCCTGTAGAAAGTTTGTTCGCTCACACATTTGGAGTGGCAGCGCTGTAAACACAAGGCATACTTATCATCACAACTGTGTTTGTTCATGCAAGTGTATTTTCTTAAACAAGTTCCTGGTGATCTTTGAGAAAGACTGCGGATTAGACACACTTAGTCTATATATTACTGTACATATATACAGTTGAACTCAAAATTACTAGTCCTCCTGTGAAATTTCAATTCTTTTAAAATGATCTTCCAAGTCCAGATTGATTTAGAGAACTTTTTCCCAACATTTTTAAACATTATTTTAATAACAAATTTCTAATAACTAGCTTATTATTTCTTGACAGTACATACATTTTTCCTTAAAAAGAGCTTAAAGTGCAATTTAAAAGCATAACTATGTTAATTAGTCAAGTCATTGGACAACAGTGTTTTTTTCTGTAACCAATATAGTAGGAAAAAATTAGATGAGGAGCCAGTACAATTTGATATTTGGTAATTTGATATTTTATATAATGGTTCAGGGTCAACAAATAAGTATTCATCATTCTGTTATAGTTTTAACACAATATTGTTTGTTTTTGTCCATTTTGTCACCAAAAACGTTAAGCAGCCGCAATGAATCTGCATTTTGAATTAATCTAGTGAACCAATTTAAGTGCTTTAGTTGTCCAATCACAAAGGAGAGCCATATACTTGATTCCTGAATAAATTGGCTGTTTGTACTAGTAAAGGATTATAGTACTAAACAAATGAAGTCACTCACTCATTAGACATTTACTGCCACCTATTGGCAGTATTTGTTTCTTATTAAGAGTATTATATTTCAGATAAAGTTTCATATTTATTTATTAGTTAAAAAAAAAAAAGATAGTTCAGATAAATAAAAATTCTGTCATAATTTACTCACTTTCTTATGTGAAATAAAGATATTGTGACGAATGTTGGTAACCGAATTACTTTGGAGCTTTAAGTTAACATTAAATAAGTGTATCTAAATAAATTTGATTAAATTCAAGATTAATTTAAGAATAGATTAAACAGTTACTGCATTGCACATTAGAACTTTAACAGTGGCCGATAACTAATGTAACTGTACTGGAAGTTTTCCTACTGATGTGAAAAGACAAGTAGTCAAAACTAGTTTTCAAACAATAGGTGTGCAGTTCACTTCATTATTTTGCATTGCTTCATAAAATCCTACATCATAAAAAAAAACAAGTTGCTAAATGCCAGTAGGATTTCAGTGCATTTACAAAACACTTCAGAATGTGATGGCAAAAGCAGCTCTTTAGTTTTGCAACACTATAATCTAGAAAACAGGCACACAGAAATGAATACACCTGGTACAACTTTCCAATAGCTGCTCTTTAACACAAATATCTAATCAGTCACATAGAAGCAACTAAATTCATTTTTCCATTTAGATGTGGTCAGGACGATCTGCTAAAGTTCAAACCAAGCTTCAGAATGGGGAATTAAGCCAACCATTTTGTAGGTTATGCATTAATTTACACCGTGCACAGTACTGGGTAAAATAAAGTAACAACACGGATTAATGTTAGGTTTAGTGGTAGGTTTAGAGCTAGTTTATTATTTAGTTTTGTATTTATGATATGTACATGGACTGTAAAATAAATTGCTACATTCTTTCTTAAACATTTCCCAAATTATGTTTAACAGAGCAATGAAATTTTCACAGTATTGCCTAAAATATTTTTTCTTCTGGAAAAAGTCTTATTTGTTTTATTTCGGCTACAATAAAAGCAGTTTCAAATTTGTATATAACCATTTATGGTCAATATTATTAGCCCCCTTAAACATTATTAAATATCTACCGAACAAACCAATTATACAATTGCTTGCCTCATTAGCCCAATTAACCTACTTAAGCCTTTAAATGGCACTTTAAGCTGAATACTAGTGTCTTGAAAAACATCTAGTAAAATATTATTAACTGTCATCATGGAAAAGAAAAAAAATGAGTTATTAGAAATGAGTTATTAAAATTATTATGTTTAGAATTGTGTAAAAAAAACTCTCAGTTAAACAGAAATTGGGATAAAAATAAACAGGGTGCTAATAATTCTGCCTTCAACTCTATTTGTTTTGCAATTCAGTCACAGAAATGTATTTTAATACTTTTTCTTAACAATAACACTGCTCAGACCTCAGAAATGCAGACGGAAACCACCAGACCACTTTACATGCACAATATCTCCATAATCAATCCCAGAATTCAAAAAAGAAATCTTTTAAAAAGAAGTCTTGCGGTGATTGTGTTTTCACATGCATCAGCAGCTGCTCTCATACTTGCGCACTGACGTATTTGGAGAACCATTCCCTGCCTTTCCCATTGTCTCCAGTACAGAGCTCTCCAAAGCGAGCCTTCTCCTCGTGATCAAAGTCCTCACTGACAGAGAGAAAGAGAATAAAATGAGCCAGGCAGGAAGAGGTAGACAAAGAGAAAGGGATAGGGGGAGTGAAAAAGCACACTTGAAACAACCTGAACAAACGCAAACACATGCATCAGCTGACAAGTGATTATAATACAGTTTGAAGTTTCTTCCTCATTCAAGGAAATTGTTCACCCAAAAATGTTTAATCCTGTCATCGTTAACTCATCCTCATGTTGGTCCAAACCTATAGGACTTTATTACTTCTGTGCGGGACAAAAGCGAATGTTGAATGAAATAAAAGTGACAGTGATAATGGGCTGTCAACCTCCAGCAAAGACAAAAATACACTATATTGTAAACATTCTGATATTCTACACGCTTTGGCAGCCATTCAAGAGGATCTTATCAGTGGCATTGTGTTTGATCATGTGCCAATGAGATTTGAAAGCTATGAAAATTTTAGTAGATAAAAACGTTTATATGCATCTAGCATTGATGCTATTATTATAGTAACCTAAACCAAAACCATAAAACCTTATTGGTACTCGCATTGAAAAAGATGTCCCATTTTAGTGTCCACATATCAGTGTCCACGTATTTACAAAAAAAAAACAAAAAACAACAACATTAGAGCCCCTATTAAGCATTATAAAATATCATATTTTTGTTTTGGGGTGCTCCAACAACAGGCTGATATGCGTGCAAGGTCAAAAAACATTTTCATTGTCTTCTATAATGGATTTATTTTTTACTAAATTATCCCAACAACTTTTATATGAAACACCAGCATATTCCTGCATTGTATTGTATCAATCATCAGAAAAATGACAGGAACAAATACAGCACATGCTATACTGTGGTATTGATGTGAAAATTCCCACAGCCGCATGTCCGGCCGATAGTAATCTTCGCGTGATGATTCCTTGCAAGCGTGTTCATGTTTTATGGAACTGGCAGTTCATATTTGGCGAAGTCCTGTATCGATGTCGGCAAAAAATCTGAACAAAGGACGTATCATTCATCTGACTGTAAGTCGACTCAAAACAATCAATAATTTTAAACATGGTGCATAGTGCACTTTCAGACTTAAACCTAAGCTGGATGTTTCCATTCACTTAAAGCAGTGTTACATACTGCATGGATGGTCATTTTTAAAAACCCATAATAGGGGCTCTTTAAATTAATAAACTTTAAAGAATAATAATAATAATAATAATAATAATAATAAATAAATAAATATATATATATATATATATATATATATATATATATATATATATATACTATAATATAATATAAAATAATATAATATAATATACTTTAATATAAAATAATATAATATAAAATAATGTGTATGAATGGAAGTGTATGGGTGTTTCCCAGCGATGGGTTGCAGCTGGAAGGGCATCCGCTGCGTAAAATGCGATTTATTCAGCTGTGGCGACCCCAGATTAATAAAGTGACTAAGCTGAAAAGAAAATTAGTGAATGAATTTTATTTCAGGCCGACTTTAAAACATAAACCTATAAGAAAGAGACAACTTAAGTGTTTTTTTAACATTTGTGAAAATAAAATGCCAAATGTTGCATGATCATTTTAGCGTAATTGAGATATTTATATAAAAATTAAATAACATACTTAATCTGATCTTAAACTGAGCCACTGTGTCGTCCATAATATATTTATATATATATAGGCGTATAATGTCAAAACTTTTATTTTGGATACGATTAATCGCTCAGCACTAAAAGTATTTAAATATAGATTTTTTATCTTCATATCTTTGACCGATGAACATTGTGCAAAGAATCTCATTTTGCATCATTGGAATAAATTATAATGTATATAACTAATCACCCTCCATGGAAGAGCTTTGCCACATATGTTTTCATAAATGCGCGTATCTCCGTCTCCTCTGCATCCTCAGCGCTGTGACTGGAGCAGGATGAGGACCGCCTTGTGCTGGACGGGTGTGATGGGGATTCTGTGCCCTCATTCTCGCTGTCGGCAGATTCAGTGGCATCACTGTCTTCTTCTCTACGGGGCGTGTGCGTGGGGGCCATGGGTTCGGGTAGAAGTGGCTCCATAGTGACATCACTCGCCGGCTCAGGAACGAGAGGCGGGGATGAGAAAAAGTCTGCTCCACTGGGAGGACCAAGATCAGAGGTCACTGTTCCTTCTGGTGGCGAGTCGAAGTCTATGAGGTTGTCCACCACGGCCCCCTCCATATTTTGGTATTGGGGTTATTCAAGCACCAGGACAGATTTGATGTCGGCTCAAAACCCACAGAGGGAAGTGGCTGGACCTAAAAAGAAAAAAAAACTAGTTGAATTCACTTTTAAAAATAAATAATATATTATTTTTAAATTATCAAATTGATTACAGCTAATAGCCTATAGCATAAATAATACCATTCTGTTTCTGTCCATCCAGTAGAATGTGTCCTGTTTTTATTTTGATATTTTTTATCTGTATTTTACACTAATATTTTGACCTCTCTTCTTATTCATCAATCAACTCCACCACATTATGGGTACAATTTTGAAGTCCTCAAACCTGGTATGCATCTCTTAATATATACAGTTGAAGTCAGAATTATTAGCCTCCCTAAACATTAGCCCCGTTTATTTCTTTCTCCAATTTCTGTTTAATGGAGAGAAGATTTTTTTTCAACACATTTGTCAACATAATAGTTTTAATAACTAATTTTTAATAACTAATTTATTTTATCTTTGCCATGAAGACAGTAAATAATATTTGACTAGATATTTCTCAAGACACTTCTATACAGCCTAAAGGGAAATTTAAAAGCTTAACTAGGTTAATTAGGTTAACTAGACAGGTTAGGGTAATTAGGCAAGTTATTGTATATTGATAGTTTGTTCTGTAGACTATCGGAAAAAAATAGCTTAAAGGGGCTAATAGTTTTGTTCTTAAAATGGTGTTTAAAAAATTAAAACTGCTTTTATCCACGCTGAAATAAAACAAATAAGACTTTCCCCAGAAGAAAAAATATTATCAGACATACTGTGAAAATTTTCTTGCTCTGTTAAACATCATTTTGGAAATATAAAAAAAAAAAAAATAATAATAATTCAAAGGGGGGTTAAAAATTCTGACTTCAACTGTAGGTAGGTAACAAGTGATATCTGCATCTAGTCTCTTTGAGATGACTGAGGATCTGGCATAACGTCAGGAGTGCAATAACAGTGTTTATCCATTTAGTCCAGCTTCCAGAGAGTGGATTTGATATCAGCATTGTCAGCTGTGAAATTGAAGACTACCTTCCATATTGGGTTAATAACCCATGTCTAAATTCAACCAGGGTCCAAAGGTTAATTACAGTTAACTCTTTGCTATCTGAATGTTAAAGGTAAATATTTTAGACTTGATGGCATTGAACCAGTGATAATGGCAAGTCACTAACCAAATTGTCCAGAGAGCACCAGAAAAATATGCTTGAGACATTGAGATGTTGTTCAGAATTGTAAGCACGCACACACGCTTGGGGACTTTCTTAGTCTGTGTTTTTACCAATCAGGTTAAAACACCTATATGCATGACACAGTTAATGACATCATGTGAGAGTATAATTGTTGTTGTTTTGAGATGGTAAAGAGAGCAGCCTATTAACTTTTTGTGAGTGTTGAAGCTGACTTCTGCTGCTACAACAGCAAAACATCTTCAGTAAACTATTTAATGGGCTCTATGCACAGCTAGAGTTTTAAAGCCAACGATAAACTTCCGGTGAAAGCTTAATGTGACTATTTTCAATTTCACAAGGATGTTTTTGCAGCATCGATGTTGTAATGTAATTACAATGCATTCAGTTAAATAGACTTAAGCATTCATTTAGTTGTTCAAGTGTAAAACGAGATGAAAGACTGTTACAAGCGCCGTCAGGTTCAGCAGGCGAGCGCAGAAACGTCATTGAAAATACTGGAGTAAAATAAACTGTTATATTCTAAAGACATGGCGGGGGGATATGGAATTTAATGCAGTGCTTCTTGTCCAATCTGAGACCCACTTCATATCGTATATCTAACAAGCAGTGAAGACCTTTTTAAATTAAAATTTTTATTTTTTATTTTTAAAGAATTTAGATTTTAAATGTGATAATTTTAGCTGAAAATTAAAAGTCCGTGTGCATAAAGGCCATTGAAGACTCTGGCTCTTCTTCATCTGAGAGACTGGTCATTTTTGGATTGAAACTGTTGGTCCCACAACATTATCTTTTTTATTGTCATGTTTGTAACCATGTCTTTCACCCAACACCCTATACTTAGTCTACATAATTTTTTTCCAATTTGAACAAATAATCTGTTTAGCTTGAAGATTTATAAATATACATTCAGTCTTTTATATCTTGATTTTCTTAGGGTATAAATGAAATTTAAAAATGATCTTTTCTATCATGCCTTTCACATTTTTCAAAAACCTTCTAATTTGTTGTTTTTTTTTTAGAGCAAAATGTATTGCCATACATTTTTTTTTTTTTTTTTTTTTTACAAATTCACTGCAGACGCTCTCTTAAAGATATAGATCACCACATTTACTCACTGTTTACTCACCAACAAAAGCTGGAAACTGGTAATCTTTAACTTAATATTATAAAACTCAATGGTTACAGGTTTCCAGCTTTCTTTAGATTCTTTTCTTTTGTGTTCAACAGAAGAAAGAAACTCAAACAGGTTTGGAACAAGTAAAGGGGGAGTAAATAATGACAGAACTTTCAGTTTTGGGTGAACTGCCACTTTAAATCTCACTCGGTTTAGCAATAATTTACAAGCAAATCACATAGAAAAACCTTAATAAATTGCCATTTAAATCTTTCACTGTCCTTCTAGATCTTACCAATAATTCTGCAAAAAATTGTTTAAAAATAATACTTATTTTTAAATATACTAGGTTGTTTCATTTTTACATAAATATGACACAATTAATGAATTTCACCCATATTTTAGCCATTAAAACCATCACTTTACTTGCATTTTAATATGCTTTCTGCATATAATGTCACTTTTGTAAATTCAATTTGACATCTCACCTTTGACACATATACAACTGCATAATAAAAAATCCAAAATATGGGTCTTATCATCATAATAATATAATAACAACCATTTAAAACATGTTCATGAAGTGTAACATCACAGTAAGGGTACTAAAATGTCCTGTAGTGTTGTAAACTTCCTTGCAGCTGTGTTTATAGAGACTGACCACAGCATGAGGCAATGCAGAATCTGTCACACCCGGTTAATCTAACCATGTTACATTATGAAATACAATTCACAGAATCTCAGTGCAAAAGCATGTGTTTCTAGCACTGCTAATGAAACACCAGACTTGATAATAAAAGCCACTATGATGAAAATTAGTACTATACTTCCCATTTAGACCTATAGGATTAGGCTGAAGAAGACCAATGAAACAAACAATTGTTTTTCTACGTAAGATCTTAAAGGGGACCTATTGTGCAAAAAACATTTTTAAGGGGTTTAAACACAGTTGTGTGGCAACAGTCTGTGAATACAACCAGCTTCTTATAGTAAAAATGTATTAATTCAATTTTTTTTATTACACTTCATAAAAACATTTTGCAGAAACACTTTGATTGACGTTCTCCCATTGTACGTGTCATCAAAAAGGGGAAAGCCATTAGTCTCTCGTTCACAGGCATTTGTAGCTCCGCCCTCTTTTGAAAAGAGGGCTGGGAGCAGAATCTTATTTGAATTTAAAGCAACAGTCCACAAAATGGCCCAATTAGGGTCAAAGCCCAAAAGGGGCAGATTCAAAGAGGTATAAAACATTATTTGTGGGGTATTTTGAGTCGGAACTTCTCATTCATGGTCAAGGGACATCATAGACTTATTTTACATTTTATTAAAAGGGGAAAAATAGGTCCCCTTTGATGTATTGTCACAGGAAACACAGTTTTGTGGTGCCTGGATGTTATTTTATTTATTTACTTTTTACTATGAATTGCATTCTATCAGTCACCAAGGATCAGTGTTTCATCTAACAATCTTATTTAATGTTTTCCTGAGAAAAAAAAACCAAGTCATTTAAATCTGGATGGTCGGAAAATAAATATAAATTGCGCATGCTGAACAGCAATCATTTATGCTATACCTGCATTATTTTATCTAGGCCAGAAACTACAACCCCTTAGGTTTTTTGGCAAAATCCTTTGAAATGCATTAGGACTGAGAAGGGCAGTTATGTAATGCTGAACTGGAGGAGCGTGACTTGGCTGCCATACACGTTTAAAAGTGCACACACACACACACACACACACACACTCGGTGACCAGAGTCAGAGATCGTGTCAACTACGTCTGCTTCTTTTCACACTTATCTTTAAGAGGCACAAAGCGGAAGAAACAGCTGTATGTTGGAGAGAGTCACTATGAAATGAATAACGATCATTTCTTTTTTTAAATGAATGGTGCGGTATGATTTATTTGTGTACGTTTTGTCATTTTTAGCAATTGTGTTCTTAAAATCTTAAACCTAAATAGCTTCCCCTCTCGCAATGTCATCTCATCTCTTCTCTGATGATGTGGTTACTGGTGCGAGGGCGGGACAACCTGCCACTCACATGAGATCAACCAGCAGAAAAACAGCAGCAATTCAAACTTCTAATCAAAATCAAGTCCCACACTACATTTTTCTGGTTTGTGTAACAGATTTATGTCACAATAAAAAAAAAAAACTAAATAAAAAAATCAATTGCATGCAGACTTTAAAACATGATAATAATAATAACAATAATAAATAGTTATACTATAAATTCTTATTAACAGAGTCTATTTCTTCTGTAGAACACAAAATAAGATATTTTGAAGAATGCTGGTTGTTGGTAGATTTTAGCGGTGTAACAGATCACAAGACTCCCGGTTTGGATCACATTATGGTTTTTTAAATTAAAAATCAGATCATTTTTTGAATCAGCCAAATAGGGAATGAGACAAATGTAATTTGCTTTCCATTTATTACAAAAACAGTACTGCAAGAAACTTTTGGTTTTAACAAACCGACCTTAGAACCTGTAAGTGTGTTAAAAATAAAATGAAAAAATAATCAGCTGAACAATGCTGATAAATTGTAAAATATTCAGTACTGTAATAAATTCACTGTCACTACTGTTGCTGATAACACTAAATGTAGAAATCTAACATAATTTGTAAAACACATATTTATTTTTAGCCTCATTTCAATTAAATGATTCAGTTCTTCACTCATAACTTCATGTTTCATTGCTAGATGTTTCATTTTTGAAGAATTATTCAGTGGCATGTTTTTG